GATGCATTCTGTCACTTCATCAGAAGATGCACCAGCCAGGAGCATTAAAATAGATAGAAAAAGCAAATGCATCATGCAACCTTTTTTTTTTTTTGATGGAACACCAGTGACAGTTATGGTTTGTTTTGTGCCCTGGATTGTGAGTAAATGATAAATTTTTGATGCAACTGATCTGCAGAAAGTGCAACATGATTACTGATCAAACTATACAAGTATGATTTTTGTGAAGAAAATACTGCAGCACGTTACAATTGGTTATTGCATTAGGTATCATAAACTAACAATTTTTTCATTAACATTTATCTAATTCATGTTAATTTATAAACATATTGTTCACTGTTAATTGATTTATTTAATATATTAAATATTTATACAACATTTAAAAAGTTACAAATGTATCTAAATTAATATAGAGAAATTAATTGAACAACATTTACACTTTTGAAGGTTAATCTAAACAAATTATACTTACACATTTTACACAATTTCATAATGTAAAAATTACATTTACTAATGTTGACAGGTTTTAATCTTAGTGTAAATGTTACCCTAATAATAAAACTTTATTTTTAAAATTTTCTTTCAAAATCCGCTCAAAAATCTTGCTTCTAATCAAAAGAGATCAGTGCTTTGAAAAAAATGCTGTAGTTTGCAACCTTGCCTTTTTTTTTTTACTTTCCTTGTTGTACAATATCTCCTTTCTCATGTTGTGGCTTAATGTGGTTTCCTGGCGGTGTGCAGTAACCTTGGTAACCAGGTTGATGAGTACTGCAGGGTAGATGGGGTGTGGTTATCTATTTCCGCTGTGGAGAAGTCCAGAGGATGTGTCTAGAATATCTCAGCTAAGTGCCTCAGATAAGACCCACAGGGAAACAGAGGTGGCTCTGGAATGACTGACACAGATTGCCATCACCGCTGTCTATCAGATAAGAACTGGGAGATTATGTTTTATCCACAAAATAAACTCAATAAACAAAGATTTCATGTTAGAAAGAACAACTTATTTATAAAATAAGACAAACAAAAAAAATGTGTCTGTAGTTTAGGGCAAGTCACTACAGGGAAAACAATTGTTTTGTTTTGTTTTTCATGCATCAGTAACTTTTTTAGACTTTGGGCTATTTTGCTCCTTGACTAGTGGAAGAAAACTTCTTTTATTATACTTTATCTTTTTGTCTCTTTGTATTTCAATTAAAAATAAAGGCCATTTTTATTCAAATGAGTTTAGAAACTGAGCTAGAAAACTCAGTAGCAGTTCCATACATCACATTTTTCCTGTTTTATATTCTGTATTCTGAGGGCTTTTACAAATATACATAATTTGCCTGATTTATTCAAAATGTATTCCTAAAACATAGTGTATATTTAGTCTATTTCTGTCTGTTGACCGTATTTTCTGATTTATGGAGAGATAAAACGACTCCAAGAGCTATTCAAAACCTTTAACTCTACAGAGCTTTGGCTGCATCCTGGCTTCATCCGATATTCAGATTTCGGTTTAGGAAATCTTTGCAAATTATTGCATATACAGTGGGTACGGAAAGTATTCAGACCCCCTTAAATTTTTCACTCTTTGTTATATTGCAGCCATTTGCTAAAATCATTTAAGTTAATTTTTTTTCCTCATTAATGTACACACAGCACCCCATATTGACAGAAAAACACAGAATTGTTGACATCTTTGCAGATTTATTAAAAAAGAAAAACTGAAAAATGCTCAGTATTTAGTATATATATATATATATATATCCCTTTGCTCATATCATGAGAAGTTTACAGCAGTTTGGAGTAGAAGATAGGGTTGCAAAGGGGTGGAAAATTTCCGGAAACTGTCCATGGGAACTTCATCTGGTGAATTGTGGAAATATTCCAAGTTTGAAATTTACCAGGAATTTATGGGAATTTACGGGAATTTTTGGGAATTAATTGAAAATTTGGGGAAATTTATAAAACTATCATATACAAACATAAATATAAACATTTTGTTTAATCATAGGCTCGCATGCAAACAAATACAAATTTAAAAAATTACATTTTTTGATTTTTTTGGGGGGGGAAACTGATGCTTTTTTCAGGATTTATTGATGAATGAAAACTTGTGAACAGAAATCTTTTCTAACAATATAAGTCTTTACTATTACTTTTTATTAATTTAACACATCCTTGTTGAATAAAAGTATAAATTTTTTTTTTTTTTTTTTAAAGAGAAAAGAAACTGACCCCAAACTTTTGAATGGTAGGGTATTGTTAAAAAAAGGATTTATATTTTAAATAACCGCTGTTCTTTTTTTTAACTCTTTATTCATCAAAGAATCCTGAAAAAAGAATCACAGGTAATAAAAAAAATAATAAAATAAACAGCACAACTGTTTCCTAAATTGATTATAAATAAGCATATTAGAATTATTTCTGAAGAATCATGTGACACTGAAGACTGGAGTAATGATGTTCAAAATTCAGCTTTGCATCACAGAAATACATTATATTTTAAAGGATATTAAAACAGGAAAACCATTATTTAAAATTGTAATACCAGTAATACTTTGCAATATTACTGTTTTGTTCTGTATTTTTGATCAAATAAATGAAGGCTTGATGAGCAAAAGATACGCAATGTTAAAAACTTTAAAATAGTAATGTTTCCGAACATTTGACCATTACTGTACTTCTGTATGATAACAGAAAACTGGCTAGCAGAAAGAGCATCACAGCTTGAGCTAGTTTATACCTCATGAATTGTCAATGAAATAGTGCTAACTCGCTTAGATTGTTCATATCTTGACGGGGTGGATCTACTGGGGTGGCACGGGGTGGCAACTGCCACCCTAAGAAAAAGCTGTGCCACCCCACCTGCCACCCCAGAATCACAGAATAAAATATAAATGTAAGCAGTGTTTCATGTGCTACGTTTCAGCCGCGGCGATGACAGAGTAACGCAAAATAATGGCAAAAACACGTCTTTTAATAAACTGTGCACGATGGTTGCATGCGCACGCAGGGTGCCAGTGTAGTCGGCTTCATTATATGACTCTTATGAACCGGATCTTTTTGAGTCAAAACCACAAAGCTCGACCCAGTTCACTTACGAATTGTTTTTACATGTGTTCGTGAATCAGATAATTACTGCTTTTCAGGTAACTCAGAAGTCCTCTGAGAAAACATGAAATCAATAAGAAGATGCCGATCACGGAAACTAATAGCAGAGTTAGTTAAGAATCTAGTCGTATTGCAGTTTTCTCGATTATTAATATAACTGATTTTAGTTGCCACTTTTTTCCCCAAACCATTAAGTTTTCAAAACAAAGACACATTTCTCAAAAAGTTTAACAATGAGTAAGTTAAACATCAAACATTTTAATCATCAAAACTGATGACACACCAATCAGAATCTCTGCATGCTAACAACGGAGAGAGCTTAGCCAATCATCTACAGGGGTTTTATACTTACACATACAATATAATTACAGTACAGTACCAGTACATTAGATAATGGAAATTTCACTATTCTATATGTACAGTAAACTGTAGCACATGTTGTACCATTCCCACCTCTGTTAATAACAGAAAATCAAACATTGTTTTCAAAACTGGTCCAGTTTCAGTGCTTTGATATTATTGTATTTCTTTCTAATGTTAGGAAATTCAAAAGTTTGTGTTGCTCTTAAACTTGCACTAAACGTGATTATACCATCTAAGTAGCCTTATGTAATTTTAATAGAACCGCATGTCTTCTTCAGTGATACAAGCTCAGAAACATTTATAACCTGTTGAAGTTTTTTATGTTGATGAAAAATTGGATATAAACGCAGAAAGAAAGGTTGATAAGTGGTTTTAATTACACTAGTCCCATGTTAAGACGTATAAAGTCTTGAGTCTATATTTTCACTTTTAAAACAATGTGTATTTTAATGTTTGCTTTGGTGCAATGTCTTGCCCCATAAAGGTCCACTGTAAGTGGATTACTGCAAATGCAAATAACGAGTCTAAATTATTTTCTAAATGAAAACGCACACACACATAGGCCCATCAAGCATTTAAACGGAAAGACGTTTACATACGCAGTATAGCCCAACATTTCAAACTTTTCAGTCAGTTACAGTACAATATATCAATTCATTCAAATCATGTCCATGTCATTGAGATGTCTAACCCACACCGAAGGGATTCTGCCTCATCTAAGCTCACACTGAGTTCCCAGAGCGCTGTCTGTTTATCAGCTCACCTCAACACTTTTATACATGCTCACTGAATTATTAGCAGTAAAAGTATTGCTGAGGTAAATGTAAGAAACATTTATAACCTGTTGAAGTTTTTTATGTTGATGAAAAATTGGATATAACTTTGCACAGAAAGGTTGATAAGTGGTTTTAATTACACTAGTCCCATGTTAAGACGTATAAAGTCTTGAGTCTATATTTTCACTTTTAAAACAATGTGTATTTTAATGTTTGCTTTGGTGCAATGTCTTGCCCCATAAAGGTCCACTGTAAGTGGATTACTGCAAATGCAAATAACGAGTCTAAATTATTTTCTAAATGAAAACGCACACACACATAGGCCCATCAAGCATTTAAACGGAAAGACGTTTACATACGCAGTATAGCCCAACATTTCAAACTTTTCAGTCAGTTACAGTACAATATATCAATTCATTCAAATCATGTCCATGTCATTGAGATGTCTAACCCACACCGAAGGGATTCTGCCTCATCTAAGCTCACACTGAGTTCCCAGAGCGCTGTCTGTTTATCAGCTCACCTCAACACTTTTATACATGCTCACTGAATTATTAGCAGTAAAAGTATTGCTGAGGTAAATGTAATGGGGATGTGATGTTGATGTGATGATCTACTGTAGATCCCAGACTAATAATTCACATTCACATCTAATAATTCACATTTGAATCTCTTTTAGCCGAATACAAGACATTAGCTTAAACCTGTTAATTGCTTCAATTCCTAGGAGATTTGTGTCCTCTCTTTGTGATTCTACACGGGACGCCCCATTTTGTTCCCATTACACTGGTGATTTGTCATCCGAGCAGCTGTATTTCCTCGGGGTCAGGTTTATCCCTTTACTCTTCCCTTTGGGATGCTGCAGAGATGAGGAATTATTTGGGATTTTCATGTATCACAGCACTTTCTCGGCGAAAGATAGAGTGAACATATACCCACCCACGCACACAAACAACATTGTCAAACACACACAAAAACATACAGGAAATGCACACACTCACACTTTCCTTCCTCTGTTGTTCATTTGTCTGGTATCAGTTTAGAGTCCTCTCTAATTGGCACCTGAGTTCGGCTACACAACAGTCTGTCAGCTGTGAATGACAGAAAGACGAGTCCAGGGAAAAGGTATCATTATTTGCCTTACACACACACGTCTCTTCAAAATAACAGGGTAGAAAGTCATTCTTCACACAGTGAGTGAAGTTGCTTACTGCCTGCACAGACACACTGTTTGCTTCTGTGAGGTGGGGGGGTGGCGGAATCCATTACAGATATATTCATTTCACTCCAGGGACGCGGGAAGTAGGGGTGCTGAGGGGGCTGCAGCACCCCCTGTTTTCACATGGTTGCAAATGCAACGGCAAGTTTGTTCATTTAAATTTATTCAGTTTTAGCATTTAATAATTTATTTGTAATGATCTCTGAAATGTAAATTGTAAGTGGGCTATAACAAACCCATGTTTATCTTTATAAACATGATTAATTTTACTTGTGATGTTTTCTATATGGGATGATTAGCCTAATCCTTATGAACACGTGACGCTGGCGTGTGGTATTAGACATGAACTATACAGAATGCGAACAAGATTTAACTTTAATACAAGGAGATAATGGCGCAAAAGCGAATTTCAGATTTTTTTTAAATGCCCATCCCAGCAAAAACTTTCCAAAATAGGCATCCAACACCAGCCCCAGCACGAG